TGTAACACATAGAAACTTTCTTTTTTTTTTTAAATTTGGGTTGGTTACTTATGCATACGAATTGTTTTTCTTTTACATCCTATCTCTTCAGCCACTGTGGTCATCTTTAGGTTCACACGTGTGCCAGATACGCTCTCTTAGCGTTGTTTAATATACTCCAAGTTGCAGAGAGCTCACCAAGTTTTGCAGGCTACCTTTTTCTCTAAAAGGCAGTGTTCGTTTTCCAGAGAATAATCAATACCTTAGAGCCACAGAATACATTTGCTGAGTGGTTTATCAGCTGAATCATAACTGCCTGTAGGAAAACAGATGGAATTTCCCTGGCCACATCCCTCTCCACGTTGGCACTAGGCGTTCCCAGGCTGCAGCGCTGAACTGCTCCAAGGAGAGAAGGCACCGCACCTCTAGCCTTGGGCTCCCGCAGGGTGCTAATGAGTAAAATTGCCGTAGTTAAAAGAAATGGGCATTGTCAGAAAGAAAACTGATTATCTTCAGGGTGCGGGGGAGTGAACTGTGGTCTTTAATGTGATGGAACATACCTATCACAAAAACGGGGACCGGTTCATTTTTAAACTCAGTATTGTAACACTAAGAAAAATTGAGTTTAAAATTGCATTTAGAATCATAAAATCACACAATCATAGAACCTTTGGGTTGGAAGGGACCTTTAAAGTCCATTTAGTCCAAACCCCTTCTGTGAGCAGGGACATCCCCAACCAGAGCCGGGTGCTCAGAGCCCCGTCCAGCCTGACCTGGGATGTTCCCAGGGATGGGGCATCCACCACCTCCCTGGGCAACCTGGGCCAGGGGCTCACCACCCTCCTTCTGAAATATTTCTTCCTTAGATCTAGTCTGAATCTGCCCCTTTTTAGTTATAAACCATGACCCCTTGTCCTATCGCTACAGGGCCGCTAAAAAGTCTGTCCCCATCTTCCTTACCAGCCCCTCTCAGCCCCGGTAGCTGCAGGAAGGTCTCCCCGGACCCTTCCCTGCTCCAGGCTGAGCCCACCCAGCTCTCCCGGCCTGTCCTCC